TATATATATATATATATATATATATGTTATATAACAAAACTATATGTATGTATATGTATATTTCGATATAATTCTTCTCTAAACATAAAGTTCTTAAATTAATCACTTCAAAAGTTTCCGTTATTCTGTTATCGAATATGAAAAATAAATTAATCGCAACGTTAGTTGCCGCATTACCGCGAAGTATGAAAAAGCGACTTATCGAGTATCGAAAATTGATAACGCGATGCGAGAATATTTTCACCATTGTGAATAACGTTACAGAGCACATTTTTTTCCCTTAAGTTGCATGGTAATGCAACCGTATATCTCATCTCTCGAAATGTACGTTTTATCTTGTCATTCGGACAAAGCTTCGCTGCCTCCTTGACACTACGATAGTTTCCATCCCGAAATCTCTCTCGCACGCGTACGCGAAATTGATACACGACAAATTACATACGCGCGTGCACGTACATATTTCATGAAAATGAAGAGAAAGGGTGATATTTAGTTACGTATTGTTTGGAAACATTCAACGACCGCTCGTAAAGCTTCGTATACACATATAAAACTAATGGAAAAAAAAGAAAATAGAAAGAAATGAGGAAAAGTAAATTATTTTGCGTTGTTCGATTCTCATAATTACCATAAATCGCCAATAAATATCCTCTGTACAGTAATAAAAACAGCTGTGTGCTACAACTGTTAGACAACTAAGAGGCAAACGAAAGGTGAATCTGCAAAGCGTCGAGCAAAAGAAATCTTCAAAGTCTTATGAAAAATTGACAAATGAACAAAAGTAAATCCCGTCGCCTTCAGAGCAGTCACGTTTGGTCGTGCGGGGACAGACGTCCGTTAATGCTGTGCATAATTAGACACAATTGTAAGGAGACGTCGGGTGCTATCACACATACTAGTACGTGAGGGGATGATGCGAATCGTACGCGCGCGACGTTCGCGTTCGAGTCTACGCCCGATAACGAGGATAACGCGCGTGGAAAAGTTGAGGTATCAAGATCGTCCTTAATTTGAATCCTCTTGAAAACAAGAGCCACGATAGTGGCGATTAAGTAGATGATGCAACGAAGATTATGCTGTTCGTTTCAAGCGGCATGTCAATGATCTCTCTTCTCTCTTCTCAGCTCGATTTTGAAGTGCACTTAGAAGAATTCGCTCCGGACGATTCACTCAATTTACTATCCACTGGAGAACGCTAGTATCGGCGCCGCCGGTCGATACCAGTCGGGAATCGTCTTGCAGGAACGATACATTTGTCACATGACTGGAGTGACCTCCGTAGGAATGATACAGTGACTGAAACGAAAATTAAATTTTATTCCAAGATCAACCAATATTTGAGGCGTTTAGATTTTCAATTGAGTTGAATACAATAACAGGTCAATGAAAGCCGGTGCAGATTGCTGCAAGTGGAGTTAAATACTCATCGGTCGGTTTATTTTACCGGTCGGTTACCGTCGTCAAAGGCGGAAAATGGAAACTTTACGACCGGAAGCTGCTGAGTTGCCTCAATTACCTTCGGCTGACACGCCGGATGAGAGAATAATTTGACTTTCCCGAAATCGTCGCCGGTACCCAAAAGTTTACCGTCGCCGCTTCGCGTGCAATTATTCACGTCGGTTCCGTCGGCACCTTCTGGCCAGATGCCGATAGTCTCGAAGGATATCACGCAGGTGTGGGTCGCCCAGTCGACATTCCTTAGCATCGATGGCTGCGGAATTTGACGGCACACACCAGGGTTCCCTACCAATTAAGAAAACGTTATTCACAATGCAGGAACGTCTGCGTTATTAATTTCTTCTTTTATGTTCTGTCATTAATTTTTCGTATTATCCATTTCACAACGTTTCTGGATGACAAACTTTCCATCTCTATTAATTTTATCGATAAATAAATCGCTTACTTTAAGTAAGTTATCGAGAGTGACTTACAGTATAGCAATTCGTAGTCTCCGCTGTTGCTGCGTAGATACTGGCCATCCACAGACCAATCTAGATGAGTTATGAAGCTGGAATGGCCCTGAAATAAAATAAATTCCATATATACACATGCTATATCTCATGTACAGTGCAAACTGTCATAAGAAATTGTTGCAAGCGCGTTGTTGTGTTCTTGCCATTAGCTAAAATACTAAATGATTATCTCACGACGAACTAACGACACAATTCTATCGTATCGTAGTAGTTACGATATTTGGTTACTTTGTGCGAGAAGTGGTTTAACGTGCGCGTGCGGGTGCTAGGAAGTTAAGCGGAAGTTCAGCTAATCATCTCAATATTTCTACGATCGTGTGTGAGAATAAAAGTGAATTACGTCGCGTTGCACGTTCGATTTTACAGACAAATATTTAACTACGCTAGGAAACTACTTCACGTGCAACGCGACGTCTCCATGTTCTCGAGTGGCCGAAACACAAGTCTTACTCCGTGCCTTCGAATCCGCTTTGGCTAAAAATGGAAAAGAATTGCATTGAGTAACATTGAGAGAACTCTCGCGATTAACTCGCTGACGATATATGTTTCGTCATGCTTATATTATTGACTCGATGAAATCGAAGAAAATTCTCCATTAAAATTTTACATGTATATAATATATATATATAATTTTTGAGTCGGTTTCCTAAACAATCCTTCTAATATATAACGTATTATGTATGTATTTTACATATATATGTATGATGCAATAGCTTATGTTCGGTTAAAAATCAACGGGTCAATGATCTGATAATAGACCCTGACTATATTGATGACTATAGCTTCTAGCAAAAAGTATATACATGCGCTCTTATCTACATTATTTACAGCACATGTGTAATAATAAGTATTATTGTCGAATATTTACAGATATTTTGATATTTTACAAATTAAAAATTAAGAATTGAAGTAACGCAGCTTCATTACACGGAAGTCATCGCACATAAAAAGAAGACAACCGATAATTTAGAATAATTGATAAACGGCTATTCGTATAAAATAATGTTATAAATATAAAAAAATATATTTCATTTAACATTACATTTATTAAGAAAATGCTTTATTATGCGTGAAATTAAGTCGATTCGTAGAAAAGTATTTTATGAAAAGTACTTTCATAAAGATCGTAGAAAACACAGAAGTTTCACTAATGTCGCAGAGAGATGCGAATTACTGATCACATGATTATGATTAATTTACTTACCATACATCGTCCAACTCGACTGTACTTGGTAGCGTCGTCGTTCACTTGGTAGATGTAAATATAATTGTCTCTAGATCCTATTGCGAGCAGAGAACCATCAGGCGAGAATTGTACTGCCTAAAATCATGAATAAGATATAATAAAATTATCATATTATTGATTATCGTTCCACGTTATCATATTATGCCGCGTTATAAAGAGACTTGATTATTTTAGCGAATATTTACGAGTTGAAAATATGATTAAGATATTTTTTACGGAGATTCTTTTCGCGAAGTATGAATTATAACGCACGTATAAACGTACCTGCAGAGGTTCGGAACCATCACTATGGTGCGTGTACAATTCTCGCGTCTCGCTGTCAATAGCAAGCCATTTCCCGGACACGCAACCGACGACTATAACGTTGCCATCCGGCGAGAAGGCAATGCTCTGAGCTTGTTCCTAAAAAAAGATTAAAGCTCAATAATTGAATGAAATTTTTACATTATTTCCTTTCATTAATCCTATAATTTCACATATATATTATTTATTCTATTTTATCAACTACATTTTTATCCTCAATATTTATAATTGTTGAAGAAATGATCGCAAATAATGAAGATTGGCAACATTGTCTACTTTACTGTATTAATTAATTATTCATTCCTTTTGTGAAATTTGCGCGTCTTTAGATTCTTTCGTATCGGTTTGTTAAAACGCGACGGACGTGCTCGTTATTCATTCGGACATGCTTTTGTTATCCTTCTCTCGAGAAACAACAAAAACGCTGCCAGATAAATAAACGCGACGTACCCCGATGTCTTTACTCCACACTACGGTATGGCTCAGGCTGTCCCACATCTGCAACAATCTGTCATGACCAGCGGTGGCGAATTGTGGCAAAGTCGGATGGGCTGCAAGCCCCCAAACTTCCTCGGCGTGGCCCAACATGGCCGGGTTGAAACCCATTTCGACGTCGCCGACGAGAATGCAATTTCTTGTCGTACCGACTAGTAACTGGGAACCTCTTCCTTCTGAGAGCGTTCGAATTCCGCCAAAGTGATCCTCGATCTGCTCGATAAATGTTGTTATTATCCAATTGCGTTGCTTCCGGAGATATTCCGCGTCTGGAATCAGCGTTCTGCCAACGTTTCGCAAACATTGCAGTTTGCATCATCAGGATTTGGAGCTCTGATATTGAACTCTCTTGAACATATCCTTCGCGGGAGGGGGAAAGGAAAAGGTTGGTTCTGGCCAATCAGCGTGTTTTTTACTTGACCAGCTGATCAATAAAAAACATGCTGGTTAGCTGGAACCAACCTCTCCCCTCCCTCAAGGATAAAGGAGTATATAAGGACAACCAATATCCAAGAAAACTCAGTATCAAAGCTCCCTGATGATGCAATCTGCAATGTTTACGAAACGTTGGCAGAATGCTGATTCAAGACGTGGTACATCTCCCTAAGCAACGTAAATGGATTATATCAATGGCCGTGAAAGCCTCAAAAACTGGTAAATGTTATTTTTCATTTTTTAATTTTGAATTCATTTAATTGATTTTTCTCTCAATATTGGAGAAACGCGATATCATTGTAGCTGGAAAAGAAATTTTATGCTAAATATATTGTGAAAATCAAATTTATCGAACTTACCTGCGCTTCCTCGCCGGTCAAATTTAAGGTCGCGTCAAAGTGCAAAATCCTGCCGTCCTTCCCGCCTCCCGTGATAATGTTACCGTTCTTTAGAACACATATGGAGAAAATCGATCCTTCGTGGAGATTCCTCACCAACCTTGAGATTGTGTTAGTGCCTAATTAAAATATAAAGAATAAACATGAGATTATCTTCAGAGAAAATAGGCACGTGTGAACACTAGGTACACAAACTAATTCATTTCTACACTGAGAAGACATGTTTAATTTTATTAAAGTTATAACCATTTTTTTTGTTTTCTTAACGAAAAAGTAACAGAGGTTTTCCTGACTATAATCATTTCGCTATGCAATTATGCAATTATACTTACAAATATCAAACACATCGTTCTCAGCATATTCTGGAATTAATTCTCCGAGAGACAGATCAGAAATTACATAATGAAGAAATTTTACACAGATACGCATAACAATTTATAATCTAACGTCGTTGCAAAAAAAAAAAAAGGAAAAATGGTAAGTACCTCTGGCCCATACGATGATGTTGCCATTGCTGTCGCCGGTGAGAACATCGCCGTTTTGATTGAAGGCGACGCAAGTGACATACCTAGGCTTGTCCCTGCTCTCAAAGATGCCCATACGCTTGTACAGCATACCGCCATTATCCAAGGACCAGAAGGACACGTGTCCTTTGCCGCAAGACACGATCTGGTTCCGTTCCAGCGGATGCCACTCGGCGCAAACCACCGTGTCGACAGAGCACTGCAATAGACAGTCATCAGCCGTTAAATGGCCTGTTTCCGGTCGGCGTCCGTGTGTGCCTTATTACGACAGCCGGCATATACACAAATCACGATTATTTTCGCGACTCAGGTATGGCACGGGAATTTTGTAATGTTGTTACGGACGATCGCGCGGTTCGTCGCGCGTAATGTACCTTCGTTTCGGTGACTTTGGTGCCGCGGTCGCTCTTCTGCCAGTCCCAAATCGATATATTGTGATCGGCGGTCTCGTCGATGGCGCACAGATAATTGCCGCCGTCGGCCTTGGAGAATGACAGGCAGCAAATCGACCCGTCAAATTCGCCGTTGCCGATCACGCTCAGGGTCGTCAGGCTCACCGAGTTCCATATTCTGATGTGCGGCTGAAATTCGAAAAGCCGTTGTTTCCGCCGTGCGATCATTTATTGGCTTTAATTTACCGCTATATGCGTAGGTGGTGTAAATGTGATGCGGATTCAAGTTTCGCTTCAATTTGTGTCGAATTTGATTTCTTTTTTTCTAAAACCACACGGAGACAAATAATTTACTGGCATAGTTAATTTATCAGTTACTACACGGACGGCAAAAAGATTTGTTACACGGAAAAAATAATTTTGCTGTTGTAGCAAAATATCGTTGCGATGAAAAATAACGATAAAATTTAATTGACGTGATCAAATTATTTTGCTGCTCATATTTCCAATAAATAACAATTAATATTCTTAACAAATTTATTTGCTGTCCAAACAAATCTTTTTGCTGTCCGCATAGTAACTGACGAATTTACTATGCCAGCAAAATATTTTTTTCCGTGTGATTTCTGTCTTCTCATACAAATTCATAATAAATATATATTACATAATAAATAATATAATATTATTTTGTTCCTCTCTCTCTCTCTCTCTCTCTCTCTCTCTCTCTCTCTTTCTCTCTCTCTCTTTCATAACATTAATTTTATTTTATTTCTAATATTCGAAGAAGAGAAAGAAAGAAAGAAAGACAGAGACGGAGAGAGCAAGTGAAAGAAAAATATATTTTTATAATTTTACCATAGCATCCCGACGATCCGTTCCGCACACTTGCCCCGTCGCGACGACCAATTTGTTAGGGTGGATCGCTATGCTGCAATAAAAAGAGAACTTTAAAATAATAAAAAAAAAGAGCTTTCTAATAATTTATTTCATAGGCGGTAGATCGAGAAAGATTTCGTATATCTAATTTCCTCATTTCGCGGAGAGCTCGGACGAAAAAATCTCGTCGGTAACTTATCAAGACAAAGGAAAGAATGAGATATTTATTTACTCGCGGTCGTTCTCGCGAGAACGAGGCGAAGCGTGGCCTTGCAAAACTCACCACTTAACGTCGTCCGTATGACCCAGGTAATGCCTCTGGCTATGCTCCTCCATGTTGTACAGGACGACGACCGCCGCGACGAAGTATACGATCTCACCGGTCGGCAGCAGGTGTAAATTACTACGGCAGTCTCGGCCTCGGTATCCGTAGACCCAGTCGAGCTTCAATTTGCTCTGGGGTGGCGTACTGACTTTATGAAGATCGTAGGACTCCATCATAGGCGTGGGTACGTAAAGGACGACCGGTCGGCCGCGCAGGTACATGCGGACAGTGCCTTCCTCCTCGTTGTACTGCATGTCTCTAGTGCTGCGGAGAAATCGCTAGTTTATATATTCGTCTCGCTTCGTTTGACTTCACCGTCTCCGATTTTACCTCAGGATCGCCATCATCTTCGCGTTTAAATCGCGCGTTTACAAGCCCTAACTGAAATTTTATAAGCTCTAATGTTAATTTCACTAAGATGGTTTGCTCTGAATTTGCCGTCGCCCACTTATAGACACTCGACAGTAACCTATCTTCGATCTATCGTTGCGCAAAGGTGAAAATAATTCTAACAATTAAAATAATTTGATTTTCCTAACCCTTGGTGTACCGTCAAGATCCATCGGAACAAATTTTAGTTCTTGAATTTCCTTCCTGAGCGGTTCTCAACTATTTGTAAAGATTGATATTTCACGACTTCTATGTTTTTTTTTTAGTTTCCTACAGAAACAAGGAGAACATCCGATTATTTTTCTAAATAGAATATTTTAATCCTTTGATTAACACCCATGATAATGTAGCGAGTGTTAAAATAATCTTTTACTTCGTTTGTGTTAAAGAGATCTCGGCGATCGCAGGACATTCCGCACGAAATACGCGCAATTGGGATTGTTTCGAATGAAATTTCCTCACGTGTCGTTGCAAATCAACAATGGCGACGCCTCGTTAGCCGCTCCGTGGCGGAAATTCCCATTTGTCGATCTCGCGCAAATTCGCCGACGCACTCTACGGTCGCGCTGCTCACGCTACACTGAGAGAATTCGCCAGACTTTTCGTGTCGATGAGGTCTCGTAACCGCGACGAGTGACTCACGCGAGCAACGAGCTCGGCTTTATTACTCCGCGAAGCGTGCTGCGCGCTCTGTTACGTCACGTTCGCGTTCTTTCTTTTTAGCCTCGTTGATATCATGGTGTCTACTCCCAGTCTCGGGTACGATCAAGGTCCTCTTTCGAGGTCCACTTAATGATCGACTCGATTGGGGACGAGGTGGATCGTATCGTAAAGCCGCGCGAGTAAACAACGCTCGCTTTCTCTCTTTCTCTCTCCATCGCGAATTTCCAGTTTTTGCACATTCGTCTTCCAATCGTGGGAGAACGTTCCCACGTAGTCCTGACTTTCTTGATTTATATTCTTACGGTTCCGTCGAAAGTTTCGTTCTATGGCACACCAGGCTATGTACTCGGGAGAAAAACGTTATATTGTCCGCACTGAGAAAAAAGTGTTCGGCATTTGTAACTGTAGCTGTGTAGTGAAATAATTATAATAAAATATTACGGAATTATTTTAAAGAAACTTTAATAATTGCTAATATAGTGTTATTGATAATAACATTAGATATATATCGCTACAGCTTTTTTTTATTAGGGAAACAAAAAATATGTTAAAACAATAAGAAATTACTATGTAATTTGTGGCGAGATTAACCGTTATTCCTCTCAGTATGGAGCTTTAGGAAAAAACAAAGTTCTCATCAACCGGCAAACTATTGTTGTGATAATCGTCGCGTCTGATATAATTGGCCGGTTCTATAGAGCGATTACGTGCAATTCATCGCATTTACGAGCCTTCCAATTTGCCTGCACACATTTACATAGTACAATCAATTTCGCCCGATCGATAAATTCAAATGAAGCGGTTCGCGTCGCACGAAAATTACAGGAGGATTACAGGTGCTCGTTGGCAAACGATGCAACGAGCGGACGCGGATGAAGCACTTCCGACTGCATTTTTGACGTTGAGCGATCCCGGCGAGGCAACAGGTATGAAGAGCGGCACACCACGTGGTGGTTAACGGCTCATTTAGCGTCCTCGCGCGAAGCGCGCCATCGCGTTACCGAAGAAAGTGAATCGCGATTCCTGCTGTTGCACAACCGTGCGTGCCGCGTTTCCTGGTGCACGACGTCACGGCGTCACGAGCACGCCGGAAACGTCGGCAAAAAGCTACGCCGTGCCGAAGCGCCTTCGTGCGAGCGATTTTTCGTTCCGCGAAGAGATCTCGATCTCTTATCAAGATAAATGTCACACAAGCTTAGTAGTTAATATTTATATAAGTTTAGCGAAATTCGTCGATAAATAATAATAGCCAACATAATTACTAATAATATAAGTTATTATTAAGAATTAATAAGAATTTCATTTGCCGAACGTTCATTTTTCATAACTTCTCGAGCAGCGGAAAACTGATCGTAATGTAATTATTTTGAAATTGACAATTTCACATTGACAAGTGAAATTGAGAAACAATTGTAAAAATTAGTAGACTGTATTACGTCACAGTACTACTTCATTCTCTAATGAAGCCGGTCCTGGAAAATAGTCGCAATTGCGAGAGATATACGAGTATCTGTCGCAATCGCGAGAGATATATCGTAACCGCGATAAGACATCCACCGCTACGCGATATTCAGCGCGTTTTGTTGTTACAAAACGTTAATTCACTGTATCATTCTTCTATAGCGGAATGTAATTACAATTACTGATTATCATTAACCGCGATCCAGAAACCCGCGTGAAACCGGGTTTCCGGGCGTTGTATTTAAATTTCAAATGGAGTTCTTACACACTTCGCACACATTTGCGTCGATATGCACGCCCCTTCGGGTCGTACTTTCGTCCAAGCGAACTGCTTCTCGCCCTCGAGAAAAACTCGTGCTTCACCACCGGTACCGATTTGCATGCTAGGTCGAAGGTCGAAAGTAACGCGAATCGCGATAATTAACGACATGCTGGTGCCGGTGATAATGCATACTGCGTGCTACGTGCAAAAAACATGCGGCACTGCAAACCCCTCCGTTTAACACATTTTCTCGTCCCAACGTCCAATTGGCAAATCGGTTAGCGTTAAACATTAGTCAGCGTGAGATTTTCGTCCGTCGTAAGTGACGAAAATCGCTATGCATGCGGCAAACGTGATTAATGTATATGTTAAGCGCAAAACACTGCAAACTTGAAAGGAAAGAGAGAAACTTAACCAAATATTCCGATAAACTGGGTTATGATCTTGCGCACGATTCTTCTCAAAGTCATATTAGTTGCACAAATGTCAGCTGATGTTTTATTAAAGAGGCATGTACACCTAGAATTGTGAAAAATTGATTTTTCCTACATTTCCTGAATGCATTGGCGCCCTAACGACACACGAGTTGATACGTATATCGGCCAATAATTCTTTTGGATACGTCTTTTCAGTTTAAAACGAAAGTATTTCTCCCTGTATTATCTTGTAGTCTCTATAATACATTGATTATAGGAATTCAAGTAGTTTGGACAATGGGTTGCGAAATTGCGAAATATTTTCAAAACCCATACCAGAGGGATAATCGTCATTTTTCGATATCTTAAAAAACAGCCAACAACATTAAAAAGAAATTGTTTGAGATCATTCCGCCGCTTTTGAATATTCCCGATCCAATTTTTAACGAAACTCCCAATTTTATATACTATCAAATAAAGAAATCAGAGACAAGTATCATCGAATAGAACATAAACATTTCGATGAGACGCTTTTCCAAGTGATTTTTTAACGTGTTTCTAAGTGTGCATGCCGTTTTAATAATCAAAATTAGCGCTAGACAGCACAATTAACGTCACTTAAACGCTCTTAAACATCTCCGAGGGCCTCTTTCGCGATGCACATCGCATGTATCCCCAGCTATTTACTCGCGTAAAGAGATAAACCGCGAATCGATTCTCGATTGCGAGGATCGCGAGAAACCGATCGTGCATACGCCAGGGTATCGTATGTCACGCAGATATATCACGGTGATAACCCACAGGAAATACTAGCCGTACGTTTAACGTTCGTTTCGAGCGAGACTTTACCGTGCTGTCGGCGCGCGCTCACCTGCGGAGGTACGAAATTGCACCTTAAGGCTGCTCGGTGCGCACGGTGTGACTTTGCGGCCGCCGATCGGCACGTGGGTCTCTTAAATGCGAGTGCGAAAGAAGCCAGAGAGAGATATATATACGAGAGAAATAGATAAATCGTCTGAAGTACTTGGTATTATTTACCCGTGCTTGACGTTGTTCATCGCCGGTGGCTTGAACAGGTTGAACAGGGACTTGGTGGACGCGGACAATCTATAACGAATGAAAATGCAAACGAAAACCATGCGGTGCGGAACAAAACGAAAGAGTAAAAGAGAAGGGAGACAAAGAGGGGTAGAAAATCGCTTTCTACGCGATCGACGCGTGTCTTCCCGTTGTTTGACGTTTTAATTTGATGTATTTGTGAGGAAAAATTTATTTCGATATTGCCACAAAATTCAGAATTTATTTGATTTGTAAACTTGTTACTTTTAAATCAAGAAGAATATAACTAATATGTAAATTGAACAAATAAGTTGCTTACTTCGTAAATTTCGTTGTTTCGAGACATTTGTCAAAGTATACAGCTACATTATTATTAGCGCGGTCTCGATATAAGCGCGAGAAAGTATAATATTGGTTTAATTTCCGTTTACTGGTGCGAGAATATACGATAAGGTAAGAAAAAAAAAGGTAGAGCGGCGCACGAGAGGCGAAGCCAATGGTAACCATCCCGACCCGACGTCGGAACCCTGGGCGCGAATAAACGGATGGCAGCTTCGACGGGAAAATACGCTCGATCGCTCGAGGGGGGAAGCAAGAAGAAGTAGAAGAAGAAGAAGAAGACTCGGCGGTGTAACAAAAAAGTTAAACTCGTGTGATCAGTGAATAGTGAACAAAATCACGAGTGCGGGCAAACGGTGCGCTTTACTGTTACGTTATTAGCCACAAGCTAACCTGGTACCGACGAGCTGGGAATTGCTTCCCTGGTTTTGCGGCGAGTGTGTAAAATCGCCGGTGGACGACCATCTCTTCGCTCTCCTCAAGCTACTCTGCGGCGGTCCGTTTGATCTTGCCGTGGGCGATCTAGAGGGCATCGAATTCAATTCACGTTCAACAACTAGCATGCACGCGTAACGATCCTACACATCGCGTAACAACGGTAATCAACTCTAACAACATCGAAAAGTATTCGCCACTAATTAACAGCGAGCACGCGTTCATTAACGCGTGGCAATACTATTAACGTTACGAAACATACACGTTACGAACATCAGTGCATGCGCATGCCTGTTACGGTCGCACACGTAACGTACGATTAATATAATGATGCAAAACGGGGGAGGTGGGTTGATCATCGGCATGATTTCAACATTGTTAAGTCGGGGAAGTGCTTCGAACTTTACAAATCGGGCTTACAATTGAATCCGTATGAGGTTTTTGCACAGCTTGTCGTTTCTCGCTTTTACGATACACGATTTTCCGGGCAACGATCTGACTCACGGTGAATTTCTTTACGTTCATTGGTTCTCTCACCTGGCTACAGGCAGTGGTGTAGCTCTAGGGCTTGGCGATGGCACCGGAGAGACGCTACTACTACTTGGACTATCCGAATGTAAAGATCCTGTTGACTGATAGTGGACGGATCTTCTGAAATCGTAGAAAAAAGGGAGACGATTAAACGATGGAAAGATAAAGTGCGAGTTAATGAAGAACTTTTGAAAATACGCGAAAATATGGCGAAAATATGAAGCAAAACCCTCTGTACGTGGAAAATACAGTTTACACGATATCGATTGTAATTAGGACGATCATCTTTGCCTGGAGTATAACTCGGAGATTCCGAAAAGCAGTTATAAAAAATATAACTTTAAAAATTTGATTTTTTAAAGTTGTTATTGCGATAAAATAATACGTAGAAAATAAGAAATTTAGTACCTTCTTCAAATTTATATTTTTATTGACATTTATTTTAATTAAATTTCGTGACTTCATCTTTTATCATCAATGTTATCTCCTGTTTTCGTTAGTTTCTGGCAAATTGGTACATATAATTGATAATTTTAACGAATTGATTTTTGGCAAATTGTATTGCCCAAGTATGCAGGTATAAAAATTCACGCAACACAAATAGTAAAACTCATAGCTCGAAGATGAGGTACAATAACCCGGCGACTTTGTGTGAAATGTGATCAGCCTAGTGTTCCCAAAAGGTATTTTCTTACCTTTGGGGTAATTGGGAGGGATGCACATAACTGACAGGCCGCCTCGGACTGGATGTCGCGTCTCGAACGTCCTGCGACGATCCCGACGAAGAGGAATTTCTGAGGCCACCTGTCTGGCGTAGCCTCAGATCTTTTTGTGGCACCGAATTTTGACTACCTGAAAACATACTTTCTCTCTCATTCGGAGCATGGTCGAGCGGATAATATTTTGCTGGGCTTTACGCGAATATACAGACATTGCGTTTCACGCGAAACGTCCATATACGGTAGCAATATTATACTCGCACATATTTATATGCATACCCGAATCAAAATTTTCATTTCACGTTAACGTCACAAATTCTGTCGAACGTGGAGGGCATTGATTGAAATTGAGAATAAATTAATATTATGATAATATTATGATACATAATTAAAATAACATTAAAGCGAACGGAGAGAATATGGGGATAATTGAAGTAATTCTGAAGTGAGTCTTTCTTCTAAGATTCAACATGGAGAAAACGGTAGTAAGAAATCGTTAGTATCATTAAGATAAGACAGTAGCTTGCAGTTATATTTCGAAATTCTGCATTGGTCCTTCAAGTTCGGCGGAATTTGCAGGGTTAATGTAGAGTCCAAACTTCGATTCGGGCGCGTCCAAACGTATTCAAGCGTTACTTCTCCGAAGCACGGTGTTTTATACATATTTCATAGCGACCTAGAAACGCGTTGTATAGAACGGTATTCTGTCGCCGAATACAAAGTGATGTCTTTTCTAAAGCGTCGATTCGTTCATCGAGGAATCGTCTTTTATCCCGCTCGATGAAAGCATCTTCGTTGAATCGATTTTGTTAAGATGCTCCTGTTTTTCGTAGCACGTACTTCGAGTAGCATAAGTAATATGCAACAGACTCGCTTCGCGAGAGCCGGAGCACAGATGATTGGGTTTCAATAGCGATGTAACGGTATAACGATCTAACGATATTCAGAGCGTCTTCCGCGTGTATTACCATGGCTTTCCCGTGCTCATCAATCGCGCCCAGGTAAGAGTGCTGTCGGCGATGGTAATTTATGCGTCGTCAGCGATTCTCGGTTTTATTTCCCGTAGATCATTCGACCAGGGAGGCTATTCTTTTCGCGTGCTTTCGATCGCGGGAATGCAGAACACGGTGGGTAATTAGAAAACTATTCACGTTCGTGAGCGAGCGTCTTGATTGCACAGAAGAGAATTAATTAATGAACGTGAGACAAGGGTTCCCCCGTTTTCGTTTCAGTCGTCGCATTCCTTTCTCCGTGAAACCCAACCGCGCCAGTAAAACTAGATTCGGTTGAGGAAAGGTTTATTCTTAAATAAAAATACGCGAATATAACTTCGATCGAACGTGTTTACGTTATTTCCATATTCACAGCCTTGACGTGAGCTATGTTGAAAACGTCGAAAACAAAATACCAAAATCACTCTTTCAGATGTAGAGATGTAAAAGCTTTCGTGATAAAATTGAAATCTATGGCAATATTATAAAGATAGATTTTAATTGGACATTGTGAATGTAAAGATTTTTCTAAATTTCTCTAAACTCTTATTTTTCTAAATTACTCAGAGAGATATCGCGTGATTTTCGTAGATGTGAGTGTACATTCATTATCTGCCAGGAAATCGGACAAATTTTTGTATCGAATCGGTGCGAAGGGTTTGTCGCACTCATCGAATAAAATTCGAAATAAAATTACCCAGTTTCTAAATATTGTTGACGAATAAAATAAACGACTCGATGCTTCTTCAGACATTTCGTAAGATTTTCCTATTTCTTTTTCAATATTCCAATCGTTACCCTTTCTTTTCTGAGCTAGAATTTCATAGAAAAACGGTAAATCCACCTTGCAACTGATATTTTATTTAGATGTTGGGTCAATTCGATTTGCGTATTCCTTCTCCCCGAGGCGAATTCACAAGCGAAGGCTTGAGGAGCTTCCCCGCACGCGAATCGCCGTTTCCCAAGGTCTGCGCGAATGCCGAAGACCGAGAACAATTACGAGCCCCATTCACGTTCGTGAGTGAGTTTCTCGATTGCGCGGGACGAAACCGAACGTGACCTCAAAGCCGTCGCGTGCCAACAGGTACAACACCCGGGGCCTCGTTTTCAGACACTCGAGCGAGCGCGCGATCTCTCGCGGGGCTTCCTCGCATCCGCGATTCCTGTCGTAACGATCGAAACTTTAGAAGTAAGTATAGGCACTCGCGCGCGTGCTCGTTCGCTCGCTCGCGAGTCCGCCGGAAATATGCACGCCTGACTTGGGTTGCATGTCGCCGATCGCGCGATCGCCATTCGCATTCACGTCGACGTATTAATTCGCAACATAGCGACGTGTCCGTTTCTGCGAGCGCCAAACGCGATACGTATTATGTGCATGATATTACGTGTCAAAATAAAACGATATATCCTTAATATAGATACGATCGGTGCCCTCCGGAAGAAGAAAACGAACGATAGTTTGTATCGCTTGCATGTTTTTACACGTAGGGAGGAATGGGGTAGTTTGAACTTTACAATGATAAAGGAAACGACAAAATGAAGATGCATTCCTGTTGCATTCCATTACACTCGGGTTTAGATTGAATACAACTGAAGCCGCAAGATCTAAAGAATGAGGAAAGAAATTCGAGCTTGGTAACTAATACAATTTTTAATTAACGGAGGAATTCTTTTCTCGTATAAATAAAATTTGAATTTTCTCTCCGCACGGAGGAAAATATTTTGCTAGCACAGCAAGTGGTTTGTTATTATAGTGGCAGCAAAAAGATTTGTTACAGGGAGAAAATAATTTTGTTATAGCAAAACGTCGTTGTGACAGCCATAAGATTTAGTTGGCATAATTGGCAAATAATACTCTTAATAATTCTTTTTGATGTTACTATAATAACAAACAATTTGATATGCCAGTAAAAAAATTTTTTTTTTTCGCGTCACTGTTGCATCTATCCTAATTCGCCAAACATGAAATTTTATGATTTATTGACAATAAAATAAGAAAAATTTTTGGAATAATTATAATTTTAATAATAACAATTTTAAATAATCAACTGTTCACGAGGAAAATGAATATTGGATCAATGAATGCGTATCGCGAGGAATCGCGGTGGCGCCGCAACATCGGTCGCCGGTCGGTCGGGCTTCCATAATCGATACGAAACTTCGTCAACTTACTCCTGAGAGATACGTGGCCGTTCCTTAAGGGTGAAGACACCATCCTCTCGTTTCTTCTCTCGTTTCTCTCCTCCTCCCGTTTTTCTCTACCTTCGAGCTGGGCGATCCGCCTTAGCGCGTCCGCCAAAGTGGCGCGAAGACAAACTATCTCATCCCTCTGTGCCAACGATTGTCTCTCGAGGTCCGCTACTCTGCCCAAAAGGGACCCAGTCTCGCATTCCAACATCTCATCTGTGAAAAGGGAATTTATGTTTACGACTGTACAAGGTCAACGCGACCCGGCTCCGAGAGCTTTCGAGCGTCCAAGAGCGTAGTTCATCCTTCGCCTCAAAAATTTTCTTTAACCTTGAAATGGATACATGATGTTCAAATGGATATGCAGGATAATTGATTATCCTAATTTACTTGTACCACAAAAATTCAATCAAGTTGAAAAGAAAGTGTTTGATATTTGTAACTAACTGTACAGTTAAATTATAGACGGAAAACACATCTTAATAATAAACTTTATCATAATATTATTGAAAATTTTTATGCATATTGCTACTATTATTTTTTTGTTAGGACAACAAAAAATATCATAACGATTTGTTTTTTCTCGCCCAGAAAGCTGCTGACATGGTATAATAAAAATAGTGAGATATTTCATATTTCGTGGGGAATAGTGTACAATCCCAATATCCATTCTGGGGCTAAATCCTTCCTGATACCTAGGTGTCCCGAGACTCATCGCCATTATACGCCCAAATGTCAAACATCGATAACTCGGGGATTTAGTTGGCGCTTGACGCGTTTGGTTATCTAGATTAGTGTCGCAAAAAATATCAGTTTCTTCGTACACACACAGATAGAGCAAATAGGTCACGGTTTCTAGGCAGGGTCGAGATAAAAAAAATTGGATTCCTCAGCCGACGTCGACCGATAGCGACGCACCACCACGTGGCATCGTGCTCATGAATCTTGCATGCGTGTGTCGGGCGTTTAATTTTGCATGACTATCGGCCGAATCTTTCATACTTCATACCTGCAAACAGCTCGAGAATAACAAGAAAATGTGCTGTCGCACGATTTACCACCGTTCGCCGCCCTGTGATTTACAATTCATGGAATATATTAGACGAGAGTTGGCAGCCATAATTTATGTTTCGATAAATCGTCACTCGCCTCACATGTGCCCGTTCTGTTATATTCAAACATCAGGTCGACTTATTATTTCGCAATAGTGTTCATAATTTGCGTATCTACAACGCCGTCGAGAGAAACGCTATTTCGCCAGATTTCTTAGCGCTCTTAATATACAAGATGTCCTAACATAAGAAGAACATCTAAATCTATGTTAGGAGCCTAAATGTGTGGACCATAAATTAAATCGAGAAAAATGATTGTACAAAATTTTCCTTCCATAGTGTTCCTCCTTCGAAGCCAAATTATACTCTAAACATTTCTCATATCTCATATCTCATATTATTAAAAACAAAAGAAATATTGAAATGTTCTTCTTCTGCTGGGACATCCTGTACATATTATAAAATTGCTATATTTATTTTAGAAAGTTAGACGGATAGACAGCAATTTGCGTCAGAGAATTCGCTGCAAAATTAATACGCCCGACTTTCCACGATCCGAAAAACCGGCGTCTACAAAAATACAGGGAGAAGGAGAAAAGAATGAGAGGTAGAGACAGAAACGACGAATTATTTTTATACTCACGCCACGCTTGCTCCGCTTCGTCAATAGTATCCATCGTGTCCGGCGTGGACATTGCGATTAACCCCTCGCGATGACCCCGATATATTAATACGTTATTCAATTGAACTGATTAACGAGCGCAAACAGAGCCAATGCACCGTTCACCGCCATGTCTTTCATGCCGCGGTCTCAGCTCGACTCGGTTTTCCCCGAAACGATAACTAATAACCAGTGCTCGGTTTCCTAGCTTTTTCTAGCTTCTTTCTGCTTCTACGACGAAGTGGCTCGTTCGCCTACGACCGACCCGACTATTCTTAGTTGCATCGTCTGCCGGCAAACAGAAGTCGATAAGATTTAAGAACGAAGCTGCGACGCGCAATTTCACGCGAAGAATTATTCGTTTTTCGCCGGTGAATGCATCGAGCACACGCTAATCGTTGAAAATTTGCGGTCACAGTAACTTGGCGACGTTAAAAACAGACAGGCGAAATATTTCACCCTCGTGGAAACATTTTCCACTCGGTCTCGATAGAGTCGCTTCAATACCACGAGCCGTGTCGGCCACCATATCACCGTCAGCCGGCAATTTGAGCGTCAATTAGCGTCGTGCAATTAGCGTGCTGGAGTACCTACCCGCCGCGCCACATCGGTCGAATTAGTAGCGCGAGTCTTTCGTCAGCGTGATGGCACAGAGAAAAGAGAAAGAGACGATGGGAACGAGCGAGGAGCAGAGATCGCGCAAAGCCTCCAACTTCCTACCGTCGACGCCGTCGAAACTGAAGCGCGATCGCGGAATGGCGAGAATTCGAGCACGCCGTGTGTCACGTGGACCTGCTTATACGCTGACGTACCAGCATGACGTTCTCCAAATCGAACGGAAAGCACCGGCCGGTCGCCGCCAAGACGTGGCTTTACGTAACTGAACGCACATTTCCCAAGTAAAATAAAAATTTGCCGCGATCGTTTTATTCAAACGTACACGGTGCCTCTGATGACTGTTTGATGTGCATGTTCAAGTTGCCGCGGACTACGTTCTCTTTCGTGAAAGAAATTCCTCAGTCGAGATCTGAAGTTCGAAATTTTCGTCGGAAAACTTTCTTACCGTATATTTCATCAAGTTTTCTTATTTTTCTATTTTCTCTTTCCTGTATTTCTTACGTATTTTAGCAATTATGTGCGATAAACTGTGAAATAAGAGACGCTATTTCGCAGTTAATGATCGTTACCGGTGAAATGGAAACGAAACGAAATGCGAGGATGCGACGACGACGACGACAACGAAACCTCGCAGTAAAGTCGCACTTAGCAATGCAAAGCATGGCTTCGCGAGACGCACGAGATTCGCGGGAATATCGTAGATGTTATGTAAACGCGCGTATCTCTTGGAGAGCCTGAGGAGGGAAAGAGCATGGAACTTCTACCCCTCTTCCTCCGCGTCGGTGCTTTCCCCACTGGAAGATGCGATAACCGCTCGACGAGATGAACGATAATCGACCGTAGGCTCTTTACCCTCGGCACTTACACCACTGCCTCTTTGTGTCTCATGCTCTCAACGCCTTTCGGAAAAAATCCCCCTCGCGATCGATCACGTACTAAAACGGAAGGAAATTTTCTCCCCGGCAAAATGCACGTTAATAGTTTCGCGTTCTCTCGAGCATTCAGCGACTCGTTTTATCGCGACACACACAACGTGCAATTATTCGACGTATAAATCAATCGCTCGCTTCACATTTTTCCGATATTTGAAACATTCTACGAGATTGCGATTAGTTATGCGATAATTATTCGTGTACATAATCGCAGTCTCAAAGTTTAAATATAATATTTTATTATTATCGGATATACGATTCTGGTGTTGACATTTATATTTTTGTTTATTAATAAACGAAACGGTTTCTATGGAAAAAAAATTCTATATAAGCATGAAACACACACACATACACACACACACACACACTGTTGGTTTTTCACATGCCAGAATCGAGATATAAAATTTTATCGCGTTGAATTATTGCACGCGGATTTTATGCACAAACGCGATCCAAAAGTTTGCTTAATTGGTTCTAAAAGTAAATATATCATGAGACGTTGTTGACTTGTTTTTTTGTGAACGGAGACAGCTGCGTGCGCTGATAAAATTATCCGCGCCTGCAGTATATTGTTCCGTTCGCTGATAATTTCGCGGATGCCGGTTGGAGCACAATTTGCATGAAAATATAATAATACTTTGTTGAAAATATCATGAAAATTGCGAAGCCTGAGCTTTACTTATTCACACGTTCGCGCGTTAAATATATATCTACTATATTTTAAAGCAGTAATTTAGTAACCTATATCACAAAAAGTGATTTTGAATATTTTAAAGATAATATTTAAAAATTAATTCTCAAAATAATACATATACGATACAGCGTAAAAAAACCCCGATATAAATGTCAAGCCTTATTTCTCAACTTATGAATGCAACACTTGAAATGAATTAGTACAACTGGAGCGTGCAACGAAATATAATAAGGTCAAAATATATGTGAGATTTATAAGACATCTCCGATCGAATCATCGATGATAACCTGTCCATCGACGTGGAGCGCGGCTCTTCCATAGAATTCCTCAAATCATATTCCGGCCGCTCGAGCGAAATTAATTCTCCATGCACCAACCGAGCGAAATAAAATTCAGCACTATCGACGTATCAACATCCAAGCTCTGGGAACGACAAAGTCGTTCATCGACACCGCTCGGTCACTTCCGCGTCGAGCGACACAACAACCAGAAGAATCAACCCCGACAGCCGCGCGGAAGCTTTCACTTGTCGCACCGGCGGAAAAGAGAGCGTAAAAAGGGGGTAAAGCGAGAGCGTGACTCTAGCTGAGCGAGATCCTGGGCATTTCCGCGTGTCGAGTAAAATTCATCGACCACGATCGCGAGTCGAGCCGAGACGCCGTCGAACCCTCCTCCGACGGCGGGAATTTCCACAACGCGTCCAATATGTACGTACGCCGAACGGAAGCGGCGTTAGGTCGCTTCCGCCATGCGAACGCGGCCGGAAGTCATCCGCACGCACGATCTACGGAACTCCTTGATTAGCGTAGCCGGTTTTCGGTCTCGAAAATTCCCACCGCCCGTCGCGAGAGCGTCACCGACTCCATCGCGGTTGCTGCTGCGCTCGTGTAACACGTGTGTTTTCCGTGCGACCGCCCCAACGTTACTGTCAGAGCAGCTACAGCTGCTTTGGTCGCGATCAATACGGTCTAGATAGTCGAGATGATCCAGATGACGGCGGGCTACGCCGCCGTGCCATTGACTGCGGGTAGGACGTCGTACATACGTAGCGCACGATCGAGACTGGTCCCGCCGATACAAACGGTTCGATCGCACGGTAGAAATTAATTGTCGCTTTAATTATAAAGCGACGACGGCAGATTAGCGAAGGATTTCTGGCGAATCCGCAATTATGCTCTGATATTTCAAATATTTTCTGTAGATTCATTCATTAAACGAAATTACTGAATACATCATGAGTCGTTCTTAAACGAGAAAAAAATGCTAGACTCAAATAAATTACTCCAATACTTCTTAGCAAATAGTTTTACTTGGATGAAGTAATATTTATTTGCTCCAAGTAAAATATTTTCCAAGTAAAAATTATCCGAGCCAAGTATTTGATCTAAAGATCTAAAGTGAAATTTACTTAATTCGAGTAAAAATTTGTTAAGAAGTTTTGGAATAATTATTTACTTGAATCGACCACTTTTTTCTGTGCATAGATAGTCCAAAAATTTCTGATAAATATTTAGAGTGCGATTAAACGGCAATTAGAGAATGATACATATATATTAGGAGTGTTTTATTTATGCCGCATTATTTTAGAACAGCAAGATTCTCTGGACAATTTGAAGACGATTTTTCTTCAACAAAAGTGTCGAGGAAAAAAAGTTGATTTTTGAGCAATTGTTTAATTTTTAATATTCGTGTATTTTTGCAATTAAATTTCACGTGTAAAAGTTTTATTGAACAAACTCAATTGAAATTACTTAAAAAATGAAGTTCTTGTATTTATTTAGCTCTTTGAAGTTTCGTTTTCGGAGAACTTTTCTTTCTCAATCGCTTATTCGGAAATCATCAATGCCTCGATATTTTTGCTAAAAAAAATTCGATTTGTGTAATTTATCATAGAATCTTCCATTAGAAAATAGTATAGTGGAAACAGGGCACGTATATATTTTCAAGGAAATATTCTCCAAGAGAAAATGTATTCTGGAGACGAAGTCGCTACTGTCGGCTCCACTAATATCGTTTCGCTGCGAAAATGCACCGCATCGTGTAAATTGTATATTTTAACGCTCGTAACTGCGTCTGACCTCGCGAATAAATCATCCATTTGTCTTGATCAACCTTTTGCGATCACCCTGAACAAACGACGTCGGTTGATCTCGTGTATATCGGCGCACCCTCGTGATTCTTCGAAATCTTGCTATCATGCGAACTAATTTGCTAAAAACGTCGACATTACATCATTCCCGGGCGCGATACTCGCCGACAAATCGACACGATGTATCGCTGGGCGTCGGGTCTTTGTTGCGAAATTGCACCCGCGTTCGAAGGGAATCGATCACGCGAAGAGCGGAAAGAAGAGGTGCGAATTAAATTCCGTATGAAGCGGTAGATTGTTACGTTGTTACATAATTCTTCGACGGTTTCAGTTTAGAGAGAGAGAGAGAGAGGGAGAGAGGGGGAGAGAGAGAGAGACCGAAACTATACCGCTGTAATACGAAGCGCGAGCCGTCAATGCAAATCCATCCGCTTCTAGAATTACTCCGAAACTTTCGGAATAATAAATTACTCGGAAGACAATGCGGGTCTTAATTGCATCGCGCCTCGTGCGCACAAGCATACTAAAACGCATCTCTCGCCGTGCTGTATCGGCTCTCAGGAACTTTCAAGTTACATAACGAACGCGTGTACTGTCGCGAAAGTTGCTTTTCTAATAAAATGGCAAAAGTAACAAACGACAACAGGGCAAATAAGTAGTATCCGAGTAGCGAGTTAATAATGTAACGACAAGTTATCTAAATAATTACTAATCATGCTCAACAGCATTTTTGAAAAACCTAAACTTATACCATGAATTTATATTCCGTAAATTTTGATTAAATATTTTGATTAAATATTTAACGCTCTCTATATTGCACATTTTAAATTTTCCGTCGATGCACTTTTACTTCCGTAAATGACTTGCTTATTATATCGATAAATGACTTGCTTATTTGCTGATAAATTATTACAAATTTGTTTACTAAAAATCTATCTGTACGCTGTATTTGTGAAATTAGTTTTCACGGATCTCTCCATTACGCCTTGTATCACGTATACACAGAGAAAAAGATTTCTTTATATTTAATAAAATTTCTTTAATTGAAAAATGTCTTCTGGAATAAAATAAATAAACAAATGTTTGACTCAACAAACAGGATTGTTTTTTTCTCAAAAAATAAATATCTTTACGTTAAATAATATATTTTTTGCATTTTCATCCGAACATTATAATTATCATAAATAATAAATTATATGTCACAAATAATAAATTATTTGAAAAAAATCACATTATGTTAGAAAAATATTAAACAGTCTCTTTGTTTTAATGGAAAAATTTTTAATATATAATGAAATAAATTTTTTATTCGAAACAAAATATTATTTCCTCCAAATAAATATTGTTTTTTTTCTATCAAACAATATGGTTTAGTGAAACAACATTCTCGTTCAAATAAAATGATATTTGATATTAAATTATTCCTTATATTAAACAAACACGTATATTAAGTCCAAAGAAATGTTTTTCTCTATATGTGTATGCATCTTCATAACAGAAACATCAACAGAAATAACGTTGAATTAATTAAGGCCGAGGATATAAGAGGATCGACGGTATTTTTAAATCAAATCCGCGGAACAATACGAGCGCATAATACCAGTGCAGTATGGCGATTGTCGCTTAATTACAACCCACGTAATATACGTAATTGTTAATAGCGAACGAATCGATCGTGATTGACGTTCGCCGTGCATAAATTACGCATAAATTCGTTCTCATCGCATCTATCTGTTTTATGTCAACGGCTCGTTGATGCTGAATGAATTTCTTTTTTCAATTTTTCACGACGAGAATATATTTAGAGAGCGATCGCACGTTTAGCAGAGCGATTTTCTCTTCCTGAAAATTTCCTTTTCACGAGACATAGTCACACGAAATTTTTCTCCTACTTTGATCTCAACTTTTCAATGTTTATTGATTCTAAAAGATTGCGATACATTTAATTTTTGTGAGAATTTGCTTCCTACTTTGCGTCATTCCCACACTTTGCATAATTCCTACTTATAATCCTACTTGGCCCTTTAAATAAATAGTAAATGGACAATTTCTTACTTATAGATTTAAAGAAGAGCTTCGGAAAAATTAAGATCAAGCGCAAATTGAATTCAGCAGCTTTAAATAAAAGTTGTCGGTTGAGCATACTCGAAAGAAGATTAATTCGATTGTGCGAATCATCAAAGTAAGCGTTGAATTTGAAATATTGAAAAGTTGAGGTTTAAAGCAAGAGGCAAATTTCGACTCGGTTATTTCGCCGCGTTCGCGTGAAACAAAGTTACTCGCCGCGTGGAAAGTTCAGCCGAGGAGAGGCTGCTGGTAACCGAGAGGACGTGGAATTTCGCGAAATTCCAGAGGGCACCGTTAGCTGCCGCACTTCCGCGGCAACCGAAGAATCGTGCCGAGAGAAGATCGTTATTAATGAAAGAACAGGATGAGCTGCGGGCGCACCTTCGAGTAACGTCATCGCGCCACCTTGAATGGCTTATGTAACAAGTGCC